CTTAATATATCCCACTGTAACTCATATATGCAACAGACAGTTATGGAAGAAGCAGGTTTTCAATCACTAAGACTTCTTGGTCTGTGTATCTTAGGACCTCAGTTACTCTACAGATACCCAAATACCATGTGATATTTCAGATATGAACTAATTTTTCCCTTTGACTGCAGATGTCTTTTTAGTGATAGCATTGCAGTGCATGTTCCTGTTGAAAGTCTTCTATCATGCTGAAAGGTCATTTGTGGGAACCTTTGGATTTTTACTATGAATATTTTCTATACATATGCTTGCCTTTCCAGGATCATGATTATACATGAATACTATGTAAATTAGGTGGCCTTGTAAACTTACTGATTACTTAAATTGTATAATTGTTGTCTGATAGTAAGTTTAGACTAACCACCCTGTTGAAATGGCTGTACTTAGTTTTTGGATATGGTCTGGGCTGATGTCATGGGAAGAGCAGGGACTGCAGCATTAATTTTAGGTACCTTGCATATGATTGCCTATGATGCTGTTAATCACACAGATTATTAATATTTCCCACCCACTTAGGTTTTTTCCTAACCACCTCTCCCAGATGTACCAATCTTTGCCTCATTAGACCATATTCTGAACACTTCTACTGGAGACAGTGCTTAGAACAAGTAAGGGAGTAAATAATGACTCTGATTTTTTGCTAGTTTAGTGCAAGGGAAAAAAGAAGAAGATAGAGCTTCTGATTAAGCAAAATTATGTAGAAAAAAAATATCCATAAGTTTGTTAGCTCTAAAGAATATGTTTATAGTGAATTTTTATGGGGAAAAAAATCCCGAAGGGACTAATGAAAACCATTATTTTGCAAAATTTTTTTTTCTGGGGCAAACCACATTTCATTATTTTCTCTGGAAACAATCAATAGCTTGGGCTCAGGAGAAGCAGGTTTACAAATCTTTTTAAAATGTGATGTATATTCTTAATGCTCATATTTACAGCTGTTTGCTTAATTGCTCAAGTCAATCTTCAGTGCTGTGTGTGACTGTTAATTACAACCTGTGCTCATATTCAACTTTCAGGTTGACTAATATGAATGCCATACTGAAGTTTTTTTAGGATGAATGGAAGATAATCGTATGTTGCAGAAAATTGTGTTTTCGAGTCAAATTTTAAGCAATCATGTACTTGCAAGGTATCAATAATGAGGCATGTGAGAGAGGAAACTCAGTAAATTACAGTCTTCTATTTATTCTTCCTGATGGACTTGGTATAGCAATGACAACTTAAAAAAAAAAATAAAAAAAAGGTGTCATTTGTTGTGTACAAATTCCTAGGTACGTAATGGTAAAGTGGTGCACAGTGCCCCTTGCTTTCTTATCACTGTTGTATATATATTTGGCATTCTGTGCTTTAAGACAAATGAGCTAGAATTAAAGTATGTATCAAGGGAAGGGTATTACATTGCCTATTTCAATGTTGTTAAGTTGATAGGCTTCTTAATTTGACTTAAAAAAAAATAAGTAGATGTTTATGTGTCTCTGAATACTTGAAAGGGTCCTGAGAATTGATGAGAGATCATTGACATCCGCTAACAAAATAAGCTTAAAAATTCCAACAACTCGTGAAACTGTCGCATAGCATAGAGATGCATTAGGGGTTAAGATAAAAGCTCTGAAACAGATAACAAAAGCTGTTTACATGTACTCAGGTCTATATGAAAATACACAATAGATAGCTTTATTAGCCCTGAAACATATAAGGAAGATGGGGACAAACTTTTTAGCAGGGCCTGTTGCGCTAGGACAAGGAATAATGGTTTTAAACTAAAAGAGAGTAGATTTAGACTAGATATAAAGAAGAAATTTTTTACAGTGGGGGTGGTGAAACACTGGAACAGGCTGCCTAGAGAGGTGGTAGATGCCCCATCCCTGGAAACATTCGAGGTCACGTTGGAAGGGGCTCTAAGAAATCAGATCAAGTTGAAGATGTCCCAGCTCATTGCAGAAGGGTTGGACTAGGTGACCTTTAAATGTCTCTTCCAACCCAAACTATTCTATGAGCCTATGATTATACAATACTTTTCGTTAAAATTTTCTTGAACTCATCTGGAAATATGAATTATCCGGTACTAGTAGTTTAGGTAAGTGTTACAGTTCATCACTAATAAATAAACTCTTGAATGCATATGGAAACACTTCTGACGTAACAGCTCCATTTACTCCCTACTGAACAATGATGGGGTTTTAATTGATGGGGTTTAGCAGGTCTTTTGTGTTTTCCAGCTTTGTGGATAGAGTAAATATTCCATATTGACAGTTCTAATTTAATGAGCACTAGTATAATTATTTGAAGGAAGTAAACTCAAAGCAAATGAGAAGCAGCTTAATAAGAGTAATATTTTTATAACTTGGTCAACTACAGCTAATTTAGTAATGTTTATTTCCTTAACAAAGGTGTAAATTTGTGTAGAGCTTGTCTTAACATTTGTGTTCTACTATAATAATAATCTTAGCAGAACATTGCTAACAGCATCTAGTTACTTCTTTGAAAAGAGTCTTTCAAAGTGCAGATGTACTTACCGCATTATTTCAAACTTCACCATTGCTGCTAATACATATTATATAACCAAATTTTTAAAAGATCAAAGGTTAAGAGGTGCTCAGCATTTGGAAAGCAAAATGCCTTACCTGCTTCTAATACTATAATCAGGTGTCAGACACTAAAGCTTGAAAAATTTGACTAATATTCTAAATAACTGTTCGTAGACAACCCCATTCTTACTGAGTGCATTTGGATTGCACATTATTTACTTTCTGGTCATACTTGAAAAATCCAAATATGCAATATGTTAAGAATTTATACTTCTTACACTGTGTACCTTTCTAAAATACAGTATCTGAAATTAAGTATACTACTGATGAAGCAATAATGACATGCAAGGTAGGTAGGCGTATTTGGTATACCTATGATGATTTTTTCAGGATTTAGGTAAAATTACATTTATATGCTATTTTCAAACTACATACACTTTGAAAATTTAGGCACTCATGCTGTTGGCAGATTAGAAAGGAGCTGTCAAAAGATGTGGAATCATATCAGAACCATAAACTTATGTTATATGTGCACACTTTGCATATGGCGTACAGCTTTTTAAACAAGGTAGTGTTGGTACATAGGTTCTTCTCAAATTTGGACACAGAGCAGGATTTGCAGTGTCAAGCTCTGTCTTGTGTTTGTTAGTAATAGATGTCATCGTGTATATATGTGTGACTACTGAAAAAAACGCTGCTGTGGAAGAATCCTTCATTATGTTGTGCGGTCTGCCCTTAAAAGAGGTATTTTCAAGAGCAGCAGTAATTCAGTAAATTTGACTGGTTTATTTTAAGTCCTTGGTTTGATTTTTATTATTTTTGGACTTTATGGACCACCAGACTTTTGACAATTCCAGGTTATAGGTTCACGCATTAAGGTTTTTAGAAACAATTTTCAAAGCCAGTAGTGAAATCAGTGGGAGTTTTTCTTGTGCCCTAAATACCATTTTCTAAAAGATATTACTCTTACCAGTCTCTAATACATGCAGATGGTTTGTGGAATAGGTGTGTAAAGATACTGAAGAATGTAAATCTGTTTCCTAAGAAAGCTTACATCTGCCCAAATGTCACCAGAAACTTGGACTGCTTTATCTCCTAAGAAGAGATAGTTTTTACGGTCTTCAGAACATTTCTTTCTGAAGAAAACAGGATTCTTCTTTAGTTGATAATTACAGAATGAAAATAATGTTCTGAGGAATTAGTTGATAATTACAGAATGAAAATAATGTTCTGAGGAATTAGTATTACCAGTCAGCACCGGGTCATCAGTTGGTGTTAATCAATATTGTCCTGCTACTTCAGTTACTTTTACATGACATTGGAGATCAGGCCATTAGAAGATTGTAGGGGGTAAGCTTAAGTAAAAAGTTTACAGTACCAGAAAAGAATTGCAGAACTAATAGAATACTATTCATATTAGAAATATAATAACATGCAGATGTTTTGAAGGACTTAGTTGTGACATTGCTTCTTAGCATCCTTCACCTCAGTAGAGCGGTTTGTTAAACTGTGAAAATATTGTGTTGGGATACTTATTTGGGACATACTAGCTACAGGCTAATTCACTGAGGATGTTGTGGAGGTGATTTGTTTCAGTCAGATCACAGTGGTCACTGAAATCACAATTAATTTCTGAATTGCATTTTGTCACCTGTATCCAATGCTGCCCATGGAGAATGCTGCCTCTGTGTCATTACATATAGATGTATTTATATAACTGAGGTAAAAAAAATGCTGAATGATGGCCTGATGAGTCCTTTTTCTCAAGCCTAGAAAAAAGCACAAGGCTACTGCAAAATTAAGCAAGGTTTGAAAGTGAGACATCAAGGAAAAATTTAAAGCTTTTTGCCAAAAATTTAATTTCTAAATGCAATGAAAATAGTAAATTTCAAAACATCCGATCAGCTGCAGTGATAATACTAAAAACCAAAATACCAAAAACTCATTTAACACGGGTTAAGGTTCATTTGTAGCTCATACTTAAATACCGTATTGTAAAAAAAGTGCAATTAGTAACCTGTATAAATTATACCTTAATGGGCTAGCATGGCTTGCTTCAAGAGTGTGAGCTGTTGGTAACATGATGACAAATGAACACTAATGAAAGGTAATAGGTGTTAGAAAGCATACTCTTATTCATAAGGGCTATTTTAGCTGTCAGTGCGTTTTAAAGCATGGTGACATGATTTTCACCTGTATAAAGAATCTTTTTTTTCTCACAGCATTATGCATATTTAATGTTTTTAAATTTTTCTAATGAGTATCTAGGTTGGGTAAAATTCTGCGTGTTATCACAGCTATTATCACTGGTATTATTTTCTCACATTGAAATGGGCTTGCATGTTCATTTTCAGCTTTCCCTTCACACACACATTTTTCTAAGTTAATGTTTCATATTTATTTTCATTTTTCCATTAATTTCTTCCTCTTCAGGTGCAATCTAGCTCCTGTGGTGGAGTTTGCTGCCGATGTGGGAACTAAGTCTGATTTTATTACCATGAACCCATCAGTTGTACAAAGAGCATTTGGAGGCTTTCGGAATGAGAGTGACAGAGAAAAATTTGTGCATAGACTGTCCATGCTGAATGACAGTGTCCTTTGGATCCCTGCTTTCATGGTGAAAGGCGGAGAGAAGCATGTGGAGTGGGTTAATGCATTAATCCTTAAGAATAAATTGAAAGTGCGAACCGCCTATCCATCACTGAGACTTATTCATGCTGTCAGAGGGTAAGTGTCTGGAAAAGACTCGTCTGTCCTTGACACAATGAAGCTCATAACTAGAATTCCTAGCAGGGAGAAAAAAGCTGAAGTAAAATGTTAAAAGGAGTATGATATTTCCATTATTGTTGTAATGGATTGCATTTATGATAAAATAAGTTTGGTAATACAAGTCATCCACTCATTTAGCCTGCTCTAATGCAAACAACTGAAATGCATTGACACAATAACTTTTCGCTTTCAATTTTATGTACAGAGTTTTTTTACGACTCTTACAGTAATAAATTAATGAAAAAATAGTCTGAATTCAAATTGAGTCATTAAATCAGAGGGTCATGAAAGTGCTACATGTCTTCTTTTGGGCAAGACTATGGAGATAGAAAGCATAATCTAAATAGTGTAGAGGGTAAGGTAATAATCGTGTAAATGATGAAGTCTGGCAGATCTGACAATAATGAGCTCCTTCCTAAAACGTCTAGGATTTTGTAGTGATCTCTCCCCTTTTGAATTTGGCCAGATGCTTGGCAATTCAAAAATATTGATCACAATCCCTGAAAACATGTATGTAACCAGTTGTTACGAAAAAAGTGCATCCATGCTTTGTGCAGAGACTCTTTTTTTAAACCCCGTAATTAAACAAGGCTGTCAGATTAAGGATCCAATGTCTTTGTCACTGCAAGTAAGAGTATACTGGGCTATGTGTGAAAAATATTCGGAAGATGATGGTAGCGCAATATCTGTTCGTGCAGTGAATTATGATAGTATGATAATATTCAGCTTGAGTTCCTTGAACTATGCTGTCTGTCTGTGGGGTTTGGAGGAATGCCTTTAAGTGTTGGTATTGGCTTTATGCCAGTTAATGATTATGTGTCTGCCTAAAAAGTTCTTACTGTTACAACAGCAGAAATGAGATCAGAGGGGTTGATTGAACTGTAACCCTAATCTAGTATGAGAGTAGGAGAATAAAGCTTAAAAAGATGTTCTTCAGGATATTGGGAATTCTGAATGTGCTTTTCGCCTTCTGTCGTGTCTCAGATAGATTAACTGCTATGTTCTTCTTGTGGTACACTTCTGCCACTGGAAAAAAATAATCTGTTCCCTTTGAAATTTGGAAATCCTTTGGAAATACTTTATTTTTTTATCGAGCTACTCAGTTTCCATAGTTGTTTGGATAGTTGTTTTGTTATACAATTACATTAGCTATTTATGGGCCTCAATTGTGTTGAATGTTCAAGTCTTCAAAATGTGTGTAACATGGATAGGTGTAGCGGGTATTGTGTGTATAAATCTGAATAAATAATATTACTTCCAGTTTACAAGCAGCTGTTCTCATTTCCAACTGCTGCATCTGGACAAAACTATCACATGTGAATGGTAGTTCAGGATGTGCAGTGTTTCAGTTGGGCAATTTGAAGATCCTTTAGGGGGCTTTGTCTTAAAGAATTAGCACCTACATTGTCTCTCTGAAAGAAAGGCAACAAAGGCTCTGCCATCAGTATTGGTGTTGAAACTTTAGACTTTCAGATTATACCTAGCAGTGTCATCTGATATGATTGAACAAATGTGTCAGGTTGTTGGATCAGTGCTCTAGACTGTAAGTTCTCCACTTAGGTTCTCCACTTCAAACCTTGTTGTTCAATCACTTCGCTTTCTCTTTTTTGTTCTTGTGGGAAGTAACCGAATATCATCATGTATTCTTTACTGTTCTTTTTTTGTAATTTGAGTAAGAACATAACAAGAAGTCAAATTTACCTTTGTCTAACTCTTGCGTTTACAAAGTGAGGTGTATGTGGTGAATATGTCTTTATGAGTCAAGTTTGGAAGTGATACACTTAGCAGTAACGCATTTGAAACAAAGTTGCTTTAGATTTCTTTCACAGCAGTCTTAAAACACCAGCTAATAATAATGAGGTTTGTATTACAGCAAAGTTAAATCTAGTGAAAGAATATTGTGTCTTTACAGGTTGAATTACATCTTTCTAAGATCTGTTAGGTTTATATGTCAAATAGAATACCATGGTAGTACGAGAAATTCATAAGCAGAAACTGTTCTTAAATTAAAGTGTGCCTGAGCTAAAAATTAGTATTTTCTACAAATAAGTAAAGTAACCTGAAAAATAAAGTAAAATTTAAAGCTGCATTACCCGATTACCATATCAATCCATTTTGAGCAGTAAGACTTGGGAAAGTTTAAGCAAGTTACAACTGCTAACTTCAGTTCAAAACTAATGGACTAAAAGCTAAGTCTGCTGCTGTTTAAAACAGTGTGTGCAACTTACTCAGTTTTAAGGAAAATCTTCGTAGTACTATATTCTATCTATTGTGCTCACATTTATTTCAAATGTAGTGTAAACTGATGATATCAGCCTCTGAAGAGACACCAGCTAAAAGGAACTCCTATAAAACACTCTGTATTTTATGAATCTAAACAATTTTTGTGTATTTGTTTTGATACATTTGTATATTTAATGCTTTTGCAAGTTCTTTGCTTGCAAGTGACTTTGTGACCATGTTAATAGGGATGACCTAGTGGAGGCCTGTGTTGCTGCAAAACAGAAAGAGTAAAATAAGCAGATTGAAGATTCTTATTAGTTGAATGACAAGCAAAAACAGGAAGTCTACCCACAAAATTTTCATGTTAAAACATACAGTAAGACCTGTGCAGAGCACCTAATCTCCTGCATAGGGTGCCTGAGTATATATGCAAGATAGTGAGAATGCAAGGCTTATACTATGTCTTTCAGCCTCTTAAGCTGTAAGAGGGAGATACGAGTTTGATTTATTGATGAGAGCAAGAAGTGGTTTTTGTAGACTCTCTTACTTTACACAAGGAAACTAGTTGCATCTGAGCAAAACTAATTGCAAACTGAGCTCTGAGCAACCTGGTCTAGTGGAAGATGTCCCTACTCATGGCAAGGGGGTTGGAACCAGCTTTAAGGTCCCTTCTAACCCTAACAATTCTATGATTCTATGATCTGCAACCTTGGTTTTGTAGACTCTGAGCGTTCTCAGATAATTGTATGTTTGTGCTTGAATGTAGTCCAGTGGTTTTCATTAAAGACTACAGAAGTTTGGCGCAGACATGTGGGAATGTAGCATTTGCAACCACTGTCCTGTATTAGTATTTGTAGCATCCCCAAACTCCTCTTAACCTCCATACAAGTGAGTATTCATTTCTTTTGTTTCCAGCTTGTTGCCCTGATAATTTCAAAGCATTCTGGCTTTATTCTTTATTTGAATATGCATGTTTTGCATTAAGTAATAATTTATATGAAGATAGTTATAGCTGTTTGAAATTAGACTTTAATGATAAGAGACTCAGTCAAGACAGTGAGTGTGGGTCTTACATTGCTTTTTGTATCTTGAAACCCTCCCAAATTTGTAACAACTTAAACACAGTGAGATGTTTTTAGACTGTGCAAAAGACGCAATACCAGGAGAGTCTACTGAAAAACTGTCCTCAGTTTGAAAGCATGTTCTTATGGAGACGAATGACAGGTTCAGTTTTATGTTTAATATGCTAAAAGATTCCATTAAGCTGTTTTGGAAGACTTATGCACCCATACTGTTTTTCCTACACCTGTAGATGTGGTATACCACCGGGCTATACCATAACCATATCATTCAGCTGGTTGAAGCAAGGCTTTTATTTGAAACCTGAATGTATTATATTGCAACTACATGTCGTCATAATCTGAAAATATAAACCACTCTGCAACAGGCCTGAAAACTGCCTAAGAAGAGGTCTGTCCTAAAAAGTTACAGTTATAAAGTCTTCTTATTTTTGTGGAAGCAAACAAACTCCCAGTGTAAATTTAAATTGATATCAATATTTCTTTAAGTCACCTAAATATTAAAAATATGGAAATATAGTGTATTCTGTCATATAGTAATTAATATTTACATCAGTAAAGTGAAGTTCATAATTCGACTGACCATCTGAAATACTAACAGAGTTGTTTGATGCTGAAGGGTGCAAGTTGATGGCTGCAAGGTTTGGAATATATTGTCTTTATTCCTTTTTCTGTGTATCACACTACCAAGTTGTTCAGGCAAATTAGATTTTTAATCAATCTTTAAAGACTGATTAGTTTCATCAGTCTTAAAAGTATAAGGCACAGCCAGTTTCTGAAGACAGAACATAAACTTTCTTAGACTGCTATTCTGATCTAGTGAGGCCACATTCTATATTCTCATGTACTGTTTTACATAACAATAGGGTAGTTTTTCTGCAAGCAAATACAGGACTGAAACTCTCTCTCCTATTTTTCCTTCTCTTTTAATGAAAGAAACTTTCTGAGCAGCACAGAGTATTTGGGAGTTGCTTTTGATCGGATGGTAGAATAATGACTGCATTCTGAGAACATTTTGAAAAAAATTTTTTTTCCTGTTCTTTTCTGCAGTTTTTGGGTCATAAAAAAGGCAATGTGGTGTTGGAAAAAGAAATTACTTGTTTTCAGATTTTATGCCTTATTAAACTTCTGTGACTGATGGCCACTCCTATAAGATCTCAAAGGGATTTGAAGTTTTAGAAACAGATTATGTAAACATGAAGTCCAACATGATAACTACTTTTTTATCATTAGCGTATCTTAAATGGCTGTTGGATTCAGATTTTTTACTTCAGTAGATTTACGTCAAGTGGTTTCATGTGATAATTTGTTTTCTCTATTTTGCTTTTGTTATTCGTGATCAACAAGTTTGTATTTCAAGTTAGAGTATTGGGTTTGGAAAGTGATTTGGGGGTGATCACGTGATTTTTTCAGAAATTGTTTCAAAAAGCTGTTTTATGGAACTTTTAACGTAGTTGCAGACATTAGTCACGAAGAAGTTGAGGTAATCAATATGTAACGGAGTTCAAGATGTAACTAGAATCTATAAATGAAGAGCTTAACTGATTAAAAGGATTTATTTGCTCTCTAATGCTACAGCCAGGAAGGTTAATTATAGTAAAGTAATTATAATAAGCAAACCAGACAACTTTTTTTTTTTCTAAATAGAATTTAGCA